CTCCCTGGCCCAGGTGGTACCCCAGTGGCTGAGAGCCGTGATGGACACAGCCTAGTATACATGAGTTGTCTCGCCTTAACGAGGACATTCCCTCACCATAAATCCATCTTGCCTCTCTATCACCCTGATCGCACAAACACACCCATGCCTGATCTTGCAGAAGAGGGGGTGAGTGGTCTTAGAGACATCCTCCAGTGAACACGAGCCTCCAACCTAGCTGCCCCTGCTCGCCGTCTGGAGGACAGCGGCCTGCCCGCAGCCCCTACCTTTATCCTGCCCCCGCTGAGCTCCTCACTCAGCTTTAACCTGGCGTCCACAACTCTTTTCAAGTCTCTCTGTAGACGGCGTCCAAAGTCTCTAAACATCGTGGAGCCTCCAGAAAGAACGACATTCTGAAAGACAAAAGCAGATGTGAGCGGCCTTGGGTGAGACGCTAACCAAAGCAGCAGCCCTCCCTTCTCCCAGTCTCCCAGGGCTCCCCACATCCCTGAAGTCTTCCAAGAGTCCACAAGAATTCCTGGGAAGAAACTGTGTCTGCAAAGACGGGTGAGGACAGCAGTGATGTGGAGAGGTTGGGGCGCTGCAGCTCATGAGGAGAGTTACCTATCCCAGGCCAGCGTGAGCCCTCTGCAGAGCCATTCCTTGCCCACCTCCGTTGCAGCCACCTCCCTGATGTGCCCACCACTGTACTTTAAACTTGCCTTGACTGATGACTTTCTTTGTTCTGTAAAACCATCAACCTTTATGAAACTGCTTTCATGTTGGAACATGGAATTTGGGGTAACCTACATCTGCACTTTGGGGACATACATGGAATTTGGGGTAACCTACATCTGCACTTTGGGGACATACATGGAATTTGGGGTAACCTACATCTGCACTTTGGGGACACAGTCACTCAAACTGGGCTCCAGTTTTCTGTTTCCTTTAAGGTGAGAGCTGTATTTTTTTTTCACTTCGAAGGGAAATCAGAGACAGCCTGGGTGCAGAATCTTTCTGAGACATCTTCCTCCTTCCTCAGAGGGAGGAAATGGGCCTCTGCTTCTGCCTCATGAGTCGATTCTCCTCAGAGCTCTACCATGCCATCTGTCTGTGGAGCTGGGACCTAACTCCTCAAAGTCCCCAACATGTCTGACTGTCTACTGTGGTACTAACAGCTATGTCCCCCTTGACTCCCTCACATGAGACCTTTCACTAGCCAAAAGCTATCCTTATGAACAGGCCACCAATCCTCCCCTGGGTACTTTCCTCCACTGTAAACAGCCGAAAGCACACAGCTACTCATGCCTGTGCTGCTCCCCCAGCCCCACTTACTCCTGTCCCAGGCAGAACACAAGAGCCAAGAAACCACAAAAGCTGTACTAACCAACATTAGGCTCTTGACAAATCACTAACATTGATCTTCAACTGTTTTGCCTTAATAACCAACTCCAACCGGGCCTTCCGTTCATACTGGAACCCCTTCAGAAGGGCGGTGTGGGAAGAAAGCATATCAAATCACCTGGGGAAACATTTTCAAATGAGCCCCCCCCCCCCCGCCCACAGCTCATGAGGACTCCAGCTCTGTCACATGACTGCATCAGATGTTTGATGGATGAGGAAGGGCAAGAATCATTAAACCGTCCGCCTGTTACAATGGAAGATAACAGTTCTATTCTCTCGGGCTACAGAATATTATTTAGGACAATGAAAGTGAAATTGCTCTCATTGAACTTTGTGACAGAAAATATCATTTGAAAAAACTATAAAGAAAATAAAAATCATCTTTCAAGGAGCCCCAAGTCCCCAACCTTGCCTTCTGGGATGCCTTGTACGGCTGCATTTCCTCAGCCAGAAAAGCCCTCACAAGTTTATGAGGAAGAGATGTCATACAGGCCTAGGCCAGAGAACCCAGGTTATGGCGGGTCTGCTCTGCTCACTGCTCTCCCATACCAGTGAGGGCCTTCCACACCAGCTGAGGCCACAGTGACAGGGACAGGATTTTCAGAGCAGGGAGCAGAGATAGAGGCAGAAGAGCAGAGTCCTGCAAAGCCACCTCAGATCTGGTCTGCCTTGTGACCTATTCCAGTTCCAACCTGAGTATTTGTAGAAATTTTCTTTCTAATAACCTACCCATAGATTTGGGAAAGCCTACAAGGAGCCCTCATTGTTCCAAGAGCTTAGCTGAGGACCTTCGGGGACAACACCTGACAGGCCATGACAAGAGTTGAGCGACAAGACCATGCGTGAGAAAGCACAGTTGAACAGCCACTGCAGTCTCCAGTCAGATGTCTTTGGGAGGGACCTGGAGGGTACTTGCACGTCAGATGTGAAACACTTCTGGGGAGAACCTTCCAGAGCTCTCCAGTAGGAAGAGGATCTCAAGGCCATACCCTGACCATCCCTGAGCTTTCCCCAGTTCTCCCTTCAACAGGAGAACTACATTAAGCAAGTCCCTTTCTCATGGAGCCCACCTAGTAACAGGTGTGTTGGGTAAAGCAAACCGGAAGTGTGCCATCTGGTCCCTGCTTGGGCTCGGTGGTAAAGGCACCTGATAGTGGGAGCTCTGAGAGATCAGAGAGTAGGAGAAAGCAGGCTGCTGCTGACTCCTTTCTTAGACAGGGCTTCGAGAGTCCTCAGTGCCCCGACTCCAACCCTACGATGGGGATTCTAGACCTTCACCACCCAGACTCTAGACCTAAGACAGGGATTCTAGAGTCCTCAGCACCCGGACTCCAGCTCTACTGAGACAGGGATTCTAGAGTCCTCAGCACCCGGACTCCAGCCCTAAGATGGGGATTCTGGAGTCCTCAGCACCCAGAGTCCAGCCCTACTTCTGGGTGACTGGTTACATCTAGAGTTCCGAGGTCAGTCTCCTGACCATGCTGTCGTTTTCTGTTGCCATGTGGAGAAACCCTCGGGACAAGGTGCGACTGTCAGAGACCAGACTCACCAGCACAGCTATGCCAAGCTCAGGGTGGTTTGTCTACACATTCATGTCAAGTGTGCCCAGAAGGTTAGACAAGAGGCAGTGTTCAAGAATGAGTGTGTCTGACCTATCTCCTCTCAGACACAGATCTAACCCCACAGAGCTGTTTACTGTTCAGAAGACTTTAAAAATGGTCTTGACATTCATGTCTTTAGGAAAAGCCTCAAGCAGTCACTGGCACCTCTCTCAAATCCACAAGTCAATTATTCCTAGAGCAACAGATGCCAGATCCTGTCCAGTTAAGAATGACTTGAGGGCTGGGGATGGACAAGGATACAATGTGACTTAAGTGCGTGTTTCTAAGGCACTCTGGGTTTCTACTCTACTTTCTCTGCTGACCACAATAAATAGACCCTTCTTGAAACCTTTCAGACTCCAGTTACCACAGCCTGTCAGAATCCTGGAGCCCTGGACATGTCAGGGGGCCTCACATAGCTCTTGGGGAGCCTGGGCCCTACTGGGCTTTTGCCTGCTCACCGCCATACAGAAAGAAGACAGATGAGTGTCAGGTGCTTCTGTGGCTGTCACAGAATCTTTATTCCTGCACATACCAGCCAAAGCAAGGCACTGGATACACAGTGCCCCTCACAAGGACTCCCCTCCCCCAACCCCAAACCTGTGGGGGTTTGTCCCTCTAAGAGATAATGAGACGGGTATGGAGAATGCCTACTATGCTTCCTACCACACCAGACTCTGTAGGAGCACTCTCATGGGCTCAGGACTCTTCCGTATGTGTCCACCCAAAGCACGTTTTTCATACTAAGCAGGCCACAGCCAAGACGGGTGAAGGTATGACTGAGGAGGGTCTAAAGAAGAATGTTCCCAGTGTCAACAGCAGCATCCACACAGTGGCTGTACCCCCATTCAAGTGTCAGGTAACCCTACAATCTCTGAATGATTACCAGAGACAGCATGTCCTCTAAACACCAACGGGGGAACGGACCTCACAGGACTAGGACAGCCCCGAAGCTGCTGCCACCCTCCCCCATAGCGGGTCCTGTGCTGCCGCCACCCTCCCCTCTACACACACACACACACACAAATACTTCAGTGCCTTCCTTACCTTCTACTTTCCCTGGTCAGAGCTCAGCTCCTGCCCTGGACCCTCAACAAACCAGCCTCAACAGAAAGGTCCCCTACCCCTACATTTTCACAACATACAGTCTTCAATAGTTGTAAAGTAAAACTCAATGTACACTCGACTGCTGAAGTCAAAACAATCTGACTTATTACAGTCACACACAGAGCTTCCCCTCTCCTCTGTGGGCTTAATTCAGCTAATTCAACTTATACAAGTGTCCTATCAGAGACGATAACTGCATAACTGCAGCTTCTTCTCTGAACTAAATCTAAGCTGAGCTTACACAGCTCAGGTTCCCAGCTGCCTCACCTGATCAGAGTCTGCTCCCGGGACCTCGGGACCTCGTGACCTCGCATCCCTCTGCTGTACCCCTGCTAGTCCACTTTAATTAGTGAGGCTGACAGCAGTGCCAACAGAAACAACCGCTCAGTGTTATGGATTGCATGTGAAATGCCTCCCCCAGGTGCCTATGTTGAAACACTGTTTTTGGAAGGTTGTAGAACTCTGGGAAATTGGGGTCTGGCTGGAAAAAGTGGGTCTCTAGGGAAATGGGCTTTATAGCCTGACCCTGCTTCTTTTTTTATCTTTGCTATCTGGCTGCTGATCTGTGAGAAAGCAGCTGCCACCGCACAGGCCCCAAACCACATGCTCACCACTAGGCATTGTTCCCATCACAGAGGCCCACCACCACACGCCCACTGCCAGAGCGCACCCCCAGGCACCCCCATCACACAGGCCCACCACCACACGCCCACTGCCATGGCGCACCCCCAGGCACCCCTATCACCACACTCCACCCACTTCCACGTACCCCACCCATCATACAGGCACACTGCTGCCACAAAGTCACCCACCACCGTCCCTTCCCTGACACCACAGACCGTATCACCGTAAACGATAAGCCAGGGTAAAGCACTCTAGGCAAAGGGACTAACGCACTCAACATGTGTCGGTCACTATGTCACAGGCTGCTTGTCCCACATGTCATTCCCAAGGCCTCCTCACCCCTCTTACTTCTAAAGGACCGGTAGATGGAGGGGACACTGGCCCATAGGCCCACAGCTAGGAAGCTGCAAGCCTGCAGAACTCGGAGCTCAAGGACTTGGGAGAAGGGGAACAAACATTTACTTAGAAACTAAATTCCTTCACCCTGCCCATATTCCTGCATGCCAAATACCACTGTATGCCTTTACAAGTAGTCCCTAGTTATAGCAGCCAGTGACCTCTGACAGCACAGACCTTTGGTACCACAGCATCCCTATGCGGGCCTTGCTCCAAGGAAGCAAGGCTAAGAAACTGATGCTCAGGCACAGTCCAGGCCGTCTGTGCTACAGCACTCACTC